ATTGTATTAAATTGTATGATATTAATAATATAGTACGTATAAGTAATATAGAAAGAAACAAAAAAGGCAATTCGTTAATGGAAACAGTGATGTAATACTGTAATATCTGTAATATCTGTAATATATGATTAAAAATAAACTTAAAACCTTATCACACCTTACGATTTGGCGGTAAATCATTTTGTTTGCCAAACTTCCAATAATTATTATAATATATTATATAATATGTAATAGGTCAATTATAATAACCATAAATAATTAATAATTAATAAGATAATTAGAATAATTACGATAATTACAGAATTAAATAATACATAAGATAATTATAATAAATAGATAAAAAAATTATGCCACGCTTGCCTCATAGAACCCATTTTTTATGCCCGAAATTACAGGAAGTGATCCGACTCGCTTCTGTAAAGCCGATACTTGAGAAGGTGACATTGTTTTCTTTGAGAAGGCCGATAAAAAAAAAACTTTATTTTGGAAAAACTATTGATTTGTTTTACATTTATGGAAATTATTTGTCATATGATTTATTTTCATGCATTTTTATATTCCGTCTTCAGCGCACGAGCCTTTAGATTACAAAAATACGCCGTTTAATACTAACCATTTTCTTTTTCATGGCTATAATTAAAAGAAATATGAGTTCCGCATTGTTTACCTTCTTTATCCTAGTCTTAATATAGATTTTAATTATAATATACGTATCATAAATTGCTATGTCAATTAATTACCTACTAATCTAATATATCTAATACAATCTAATAATCTGATAATTGTTAACGCTAACACTAATAAAATAACACTAATAATAACACTAATAATAATAACACTAATAAAATAACACTAATAATAACACTAATAAAATAACACTAATAATAACACTAATAAAATAACACTAATAATAACACTAAAAATTCAATAATTATACTAATAATTAATAACGCTAACACTAATATTACTAATGCTAATGCTAATCATTGCTAATAATTGCTAATAAGTGCTAAGAAGCGCTAATAAGTGTTAATAATCACAATAATCACTAATAATCACTAATAATAGCATTTCACTAATGATTAAAGATCCTTCTTTTACATTTTTGCAAATTTTGTTCACCGAAAAAACAGGATTAACAAATCATATATAAATGAGATCACTTGGCCTTACCGCCACTTTTTATCATTTTTATCATTTACAACTCCTTAATTATTAATCATTTGTATATACTAATAAATCAATTTGTACTAATAATTGACTAATTCGTATAACATACTAAATATAACATACTAAATACGCTTCAAGTATTTACGCCCTTCTCGGACCGAACTAAAGTATTAAACAAGTAAATTACTTTTTCGTGATATTTCCGAAGTATTGTCAATCTTTACGGTACTTATGTACGTCCGTCTTTACAAATACGAAATACGTACGTACGTACGTACGTATGTGTACGTATATCTTCTGTATAACCATCAAACAATAACTTTTATTATCACATCGCCGATCATGCTTTTTAGTTTTAAAAACAAACTAATTCAAGAAGTCTTTTGTTTGAAAAAAGTTGTTCCTCTTATCTTTAGTTTCCATATTTGTATAAACTTTTCTAAATATTAAATTTACCCGATCTTATTTTTGTCGTATTATCATGAGATCTATATCATTTCCATCATTAAAAAAGTCTATTGTTTCATTACCCCGCTCACATTTTTTATCTTAAAGTTTAGGCTGGGTTTATAGTTTGCACCAATCCCAAGAATGAATGATTATTTCTAAAGATGGTTTTATTTCATTGTGTTAATTCATATTTAATCATATTTAATCAAATATCTGTGAACCATGCGACGGATAACTGCAACGGATAACTGCAACGGATAATTGCAACGGATAGCTGCGACGACGGATAACCGTAACGGATAACTGTAACTGATAATAATAATTGCAACGGGTGACTGCAATGGGTGACTGCGTGACTGCAATGGGTGACTGCAATGGGTAACTGCAATAAGTAACGCAATGGGTAACTGCAACGGATAACTTTGATTATTTTATTTCTTATTAATCATATATAAATACGTACAGTACATGATCAGGGAAACAATAAATCAAATTTCTCGTAGTTTGCAAAATTTTTCTCTCATATTGTTTTTTAATCGTTTGTTTTAAAATCTATTGTTAAATATTGTAAAAAAACTCCCCACCCTTGGATTCCTTCTAGATTCTTTTTTTAGTAACTCTTTTCTGCGTAGATTAAATGTTCTTTTTGACAGATTGATATACATTTATAATTATCGTCATTACTAATTAAAGTACCTAGTTGATTCATCTTATTAATCTTTGATTGGTACGTACATGAATATTGTTTCATCATTGTACATCGTATTACTCTTAATTAATTGGTCTTTAACCTTTCCTTATTATTTTTTAAAGTCACGATATCGGATTAATTTTAGGTTTTATTGTTCGCTATCATCAATTTATCATTATAATATATTATGAAAATTATGAATATACTTGCTTGCGTGCGTGCGTGCGTGCGTGCGTGCGTGCGTATTGGTATGATTATTATTATTATATGATACGATTATATCTATGAATATACGTATATATCTATATGATACAAGTATATATAAGTATCAGATACATATATATAGTGTATAAACATTTATATACGTATATATATGTTTATATACACGTATATAGTATATAAACATATACATATATATATATATATATATATATATATATATATGTATGTGTATATATATACACATATATATATATACATATATATATACACATCTATATATACACATATTATATTAATATATATTCTTATCGATAATACATATCAATATATATATATTTCGTTATATGAACTGGTTTTTTAACCTAATATTTCTAAACCCAATAACGATATCCAATAACGATATCCAATAACGACAATCCAATAACGATAATCCAATAAATATTGTAAATGATAAAAAAAAAAAATGATAAATGAATAAGAATAAGTTGCACATACGATTCAAAAAACTAACTTTTTGTGATCCACACACAGATTCCAAAATTATCTTTTTTGTTTATCTGTCCATTCATTCATGTTTCAATAAACTTTCTAACAAAACTGGTTGGATACCCTAAGTATCATCAGCCGCCATTATCTAATATAAATAATTGTAACAGGTAATCTAAAAAAACTTTCAATTTTGTACCCATTTTATGTATATATTTAAATATAGTTTAATATTCTGTATAAATAATTATACTGTGATCTCATGGAAAAAATGGAAAAATAACAAAACTTTAATATATGCGGAAACAGTGTCAAAGACAATAACTTCATAAATAAATATACTTTTAATCTAAAATGAATAAAGTTCGGCAGATTCTTATAACGAACAAATCTTTTTTCATTATTCATCTATTTTTGTATAAATACATCAAGTGTTCAATTGTCCGTAGTGTGTTTTCCCCCCTTTTTTTATTTATTATTATTATTATTATTATTATTATTATTATTATTTTATGACTTGTTAAAAAAAAAAAAAAAACACCTACGTATATATATATACTCTATATATATATACTCTATATATATATACTATATACACTGGGAAAAAAAAACTACTTTTTTTTCGTATATCGATATTGATTGTAATTTCACGAAATATCAATTCCTCTTTAATTTTTTTCTCTAATTCTTTTTTCGACCGATCTTTCTTGAACTAAAACTTTTGAGAAATTCCTGAGAAATTCTTGAGAAACTTTTTTAGAAGCTGCAATAAAGAAGGTAGGCAATGTATATGTCGTTTTTAGAATATAAACGTCATTTTCACAAAAGGTCGTGAAAAACATAAAGGGGAATTGCAGACAATGTTTTAGAATTCAATCACGATGAAAATAATCCGATTTGGCCACGATCCTTTGTTTCTTATACATGCGATTTTATCCTTTGTTTAGAATATGAATTTAAGGTTTTTCTTTCTTTGAACTATTACTGACAATCATATGTATTCCCCCTTTCTTCTTTTTGTCCTTCAACTTCCATCTTTCTAAAAACATTCAACAATTTTTCTAAACTTTCAATATTTTCCACGTCTTTTGATCTTCTTTTTGATCTTTTACTTATTTTATCTGCAGTTCTTTTGATCAATCTGTCAATAAGAATATCTTAACGCCAAATATTACGAGATAACGAGATTACGAGTTAAAAAAAAAAAAGAAGTTTTCAATATCGTTATTAAAAAAAAAAATTCATCTTACGTAGTTGGTATGTATTTTTTATATTCAATCATTTATGCCTTAATCTTGAACACTATGAATTATGAATTATGATAGTGTGATTACACAATTACTACTGTATCCCTCGATGTTGACATAACACATACGTATTAATTTAGCAACAACACAAGATGTTGAAAAACATTAATTGGTGCAATTATTATATTTTATCACATTTTATCATTTTATCTTCCTCCCCCCTTTCGTACTTTCCTATTTAATTCAATTTTAATTTCTCCCATTATTTCTTTCTTTTCATTCTCATTTACACATGATCAAGTATTGTATTCGTATTTCTCTCGAAATTCCATGTTGTCGGCTTTGGATAAAAACATCTTTTATAATAAGATTTCAATTGTCAATGGTTAAATGAATTTTAGTTTTTATGATTCGATTACCTTATTATTACGGAAAGGAGATGTCATTTTCGTTCTAGTTTCGTCATAGCTTGATTTTTTTGAAACAGACAAAGGGTGAAATATTAATATAATAATTGTTAACTTTTCTTCCTTTGTTCTCATTTTTCCTCGTTGTTTAAGACCTGTCATTCTTCTTTTTTTTTTTTTTTTTCTTTTAAATTACCTTATCAAGACCGTTCGCAACGAAAAAAAAAAAAAAAAAGACTGACATTTTTTTTTTTTTTCTTTTGAAAATCCTTCTGAAAATTTAAATTCACACAATAGTCGTTATAAGTAATTTGCTTCTTTTTCGCAATGTCATCTCACAACCATCACGGACACGATTCTGCTGCGCCAACAACTCCTCCTGTTTCTACAACTTCCACAACTTCGTCTAATATCGGCCTGGTTAAAGAAGATAATCGTCAACCTTCTTCTCCTCCTTTATCATCTCCTACAACTCCTTTACAAAATTCTATTGATTCTCTAAAAGTTGATTCTTCTTTACCTTCATTTGCTTCTGTATTCACTTCTAATAATAACAATAATGACAGCGATGAAGATGAGATTGATGAATTATTACCACAACAACGGAAATTACGCAATCAAAGTCACAATTCTGCTGATAATTATCTTTCTTCTCCGATAACTAATGATACTTCTCCTTCACTACTCCCTCTTTCTATTGATAATGCTCGTTCGGCTGCTAGTATTTCAAATCTGATCAATCATGATGACGATCATCATTCTTCTGTTTCTCCTACATCACAAATTAGTAGTAGATCAATCTCCCCATCACCTGAAACTCCTCGTAATAATGTTTCCATATTAAATGAACCAAGGTTTATTAGTATAGAATTTCATAACACAAATAACTCCGATTTTTCTTCTCCTACTACCACTAAAAAGAAAAGAAAAAGTGGTCACGATGCCGATGATGATATATCTAAAAATAAACGTATTTCTGATTCTTCAAAAAGGCAACGTAAAAATGTACATAAATCCTCTTCAACTACTTCTGTATCAAATACTCCTATCTCTGCAACTTCTATTATTGATGAAACTGATGACGTCACCACTTTGAATGGTTCTATACCTCCTTCTCCGGTTCCTTCTTCAGGATTTGACGAAATGATTCTTGATGATCAAGTTTCTGATGATTTCCCTTCTGCTACTTCTCCAACAAATACCAATGCAAATATTACCTTTTCTTCAAAACAAAATCGTAAAAAACCTTATATTCCTCGTCCTCCAAATTCTTTTATTTTATATCGTCAACATCATCATCCTCTTATTCTTAATCAACATCCTGGAATTAATAATTCCGAAATTTCTCGTATAATAGCTGATCATTGGAGAAATTTATCTGATCATGAAAAAGATGAATGGAAAAGAAAAGCTGAAGAAGCAAAAGAACGTCATATGAAAGCTTGGCCTGATTATAAATATCAACCTAGAAGAAGAGTGGTTGGTCCAACTTTTAAAAAACCATTAAAGGGTCCTGGTGCTCCTACTAAACTCGATAATGTAGGTGATTTTGATACCGGCTCTCGTCGTAATATTAATGATCATGTGAAACCAAATATGGATAATTTCGTTATGGAGATTTCTAATTCTTTTCAAAGAAAATCCAGTATTGCTGATGATATCCCTATTAATGATTCCCATGATTCACGTGAGTTGACGGATATAACTTCTTCTCAAAGGAAATCAATCATAATAATTGAGCGTGGTTCAAAAGAATTGAATAAAATAGGTGATTATAAATTATTATGAAATTATGAAATAATATTTTTTTGATACATTCATTTATTCACTTTTTTTTTTTTTAATACATATATACATATATATATACTCATTAAATAGAACGTAATAAATCGAACAATAAAAAATCGCCTACTCCGGATGCATTCAAATCAAAGATGTCCACTTCTCCTCAGAGACAAAATTCTACTTCATCGCAAATTACGACACGTTTACCTCCTCCACATACTTTAGTAGCCCCTCCAATGCAATTATTACCACCCACACAACCTACAATGATTTTGCCTAATACGCCTTCTCCACCTTCTGCTACGGCTCGTGGTGCGCTTATTGTTCTTGAAGGTTGTGAAGATGGTACAACTGCTTTACAATCAACAAAATTATTGGAATTTTTAAAAAATGAAGGTATCAAAGCTCGTTTGTGGAAATTCCCTGATACCTCAACTCCTTCGGGTACTGCTCTTAAAGCTTATAGATCAAATAATCGTCAACCACATCCAAAGACTCTTCATTTACTTGTTGCTGCTCATTGGTGGGAACTTATGCCTATAATGAAAGAACATCTAATTAATGGCACAACTTTGATAGTGGATAAATATGTTTACTCATCGATTGCTGCTTCTGCTTCGGCAGGTTTAGACCTCAATTGGTGTAAAGCTAGTTATGTGCACTTGTTATGCCCTGATTTGATCTTTTTCTTAAATGTAGAAAGAGAATCAAATGAATTAGATCAACAGTCTCAATCTCCGCAATCAACTCAACTCCCTCATGTTAATGATATGCTTGGAGCTAGTAGTAATGATGATGAAAGTAGACGTGCATCTGAATGGCAAAAAAGATTACAAGATGCATTTGCTCGATTGGCAGAAGTTCAGTGGAAGGTAATTAATTATTAACAGTTAAAATTATACTCTTCAAAAAAACTTTTAATTAAAATTCTAATTTTTTTTTATAGATTTTGGATGCGCGTAAATCAAATACTTTGGTTCATACTCAAATACTTGAAGCTTCAATTGAGGTTATTGAAAGATGTCGCAAATACACAACTGGTTATAATAGTAATATTAATAACTTTATGCCACAAAATCAATTTCTTTTTCCTCCACCCCCACCAAACCAATCATCATCATCCTCACCACCACCACCTCCATCACAACTTTCACAATCTGCATATGTATTACCTACTCTAATGTTATAAATATTTCCCTACCATTAATCTTTTTTGTTTCAAAAAAAAAAAAAAAAAAAAAAAAAACATTTATACATCATTTGTTTCATTTTATATTTGTAAAATTTTTTTTTAATTCTTTTTTGACACCATTTTTTTTTTTTCATTATACATATATATATATATAACAAACAACGTGTAAAAAAAAATCAATTAAAAAAGTCATCCACTGTTTATAAATTCAAATACATATTTTTTGCCATCATACAGGAATATTACGTATAATTGTGAATACGTACGTATATTTATAACTCTAGATTACGATTACTGATAAAATTAAGTGTAAATTTGTCGCTATAAATAATGATAATAGCGATAGTACGTAATATAAAATTAAATGATATACACGTGATATTAAGTATACTTATAAAAATTATTTTAGTATTAGCGTTAGGGCGCTTATCTATTTATACATTATTGTAAAATCTTGGTAATTTAAATTTTCGTTGCGCCTTCTCTTTAACACTGCATGCTTAAATTTGTTTAGTAATGCTACGCACATACGTATCTACCTACCTACCTATGTGCCTAATTTATTTATGAAATCGCGTTTTAACCTTGTATTCCAAATCAGGATTATTCTTTTTTTTTTGCCAAACAATTAAAATTTTTGATTTTTTGAATCACATGAATAGTCGCAAAAAAAAAAAACTTTATGACGGGTATCATCTTTTTGTAATATTTCATGTTTATTAAAAACAACTCCGTATACAAATATGTAGAATATATTAAAATCATTTTAGACATATATCGATATGATTAAACTACGATTAATAGATAATTAAGCATCGCACCATGCAATGCGCTTGTATATCGCATCCCAATAATTCACCAATCGAATTTCGAAAATTATTTTTGTGTCTATAATCACCTAATAATAATGTAATGTTATGCCTATAGATTGGTGAAACTAAATAACACTAATGAAACTGGTAACGATCTAAAACCTGATTTGCTGTTATATAATATTTAATTTTGGCCTGATCTGCTATAATTCCAAATTTTGATAATATCAACCTGCGTTGATATCAACCTAAGCCACAAAACAAATTTTTATAAATTTTTATATATCAAAATTCCTTCATATATATCAACTTTAATA